TGTACATCGCCAGCACGACCACCTAGAACATGAGTGCACAGGTTGGGAGAAAAAAACACCAACAGGAGGAACATTTGCTGTCTGAGTGGGCATCAGGGGAGGGGAAGGATAATACCCTGGAGCATCTTCAGTACAGAATTCTACTTCCTGTTTGCCTTCCACAGATGAGCATCACTGAGCCTTGTAATCATGTGCACTTGCTCCTCACATGTCACCACAATGAGGCTGCTGTGTGGCTGAGTTGGTGACGAGTAATGACTGTCCTAAGCACCCCCATCCCCGCCCCCTCCATCATGCAAAGGCAGCACTAAATACGGTGTTAACCACAGATATCAGGAGGCCTCAGGGCCTGCTCCAGCTGGCGCTGCTGATGGATAGTGCTGACCTTTACTGAATATTCTGAGCATCATCCCTGCACATACACTTTCTAAGCCCTTCAGAGGCAGAAACAAGAGACTATCAGAATTTCAGAGCTGAAGACAAAGTGAGGGACCATCTACTCTGGGTTTAGCCTTTCTCAGCCATGGCCAACTCCTCCTGAGATGAAACTAGCATGGACAAGGGGCAGAGACCTGACAGGCCTGGCTGCCCTGCTTATCCTCAGAAAGCACGACACCCCCAGCTCTACCACATTGGGCCCAACCGCGTATTTCACAGGTAATGCATTCACAGCCCCAAATGGGAAAGCACTTTCCAGAAATATAAATAACACACTGTATAAAAAAGAACAAAGAAGGAAGTAAAAATCATTTTAAATCCACCATCAAGAAATAATCCTTTTTAACATTTTCAGTGACTGTCCTTTCAGACATTTCTCTTCTCATCTAAAGAAAGTTTTATAGTCATATATGGACAAGAAGCTATACATGCTATTCAAAACCATGTTTTCATCCTTATAAAAATAATGATTAAGTTTGGGCCAATGAAACTGAAAAGGGGACAGAGAATCTAAGATGAGAATCCTTCCATAATTCCAAATCTGCCTATGTGTGCACACATCAGAATAATGCTAGTATTAATCTGATCTTGCCAAGACAAAGTAGTCCATGTATGCTTTGAAAAAAAAATCCCAGTTAGAATATTCATTAGACTGTAAACATCCTCAGTACAAGCTTCATTTTCTACTCACATATTGTCAGGCAAGTCAAAAAAGGCTCCCTAAAACCACCACTGACAGATTTCATTAGATGTCCTAATAAAAGCAACGATAATTAAGATGACAGCCCCAAGCTGCAAACACAACTACAATCTTTAAGGCCACCGTTAGTGACTCAGAGGGTATAACATAAAATCACCTTCTCATTATCCCGTTTATTTCCCCTCATAGTAAAAAGTTCTAGGGATAACTGACCTATGTATTTGTCTCCTTATCATCTAAAATAAATGTCCAGAAAGTCAGCTGCCTGGGGCTGGGGTCTTGGCTGTTTCATTCACCATAGAAAACAAAGAGCTGGATGAGAATAAGCTGGTCTTGACTAGACTCTGCTCTCCAGGCCTAGAACAGTGCCTGCTGCATTGTACGCACTCAGTATTTGTTAAAAGAATAAACCTAACAACTGAGTGAAAGTGGAAGTCACTCAGTCCTGTCTGACTCTTTGCGATCCCATAGACTATGCCGCCCACGGAATTCTCCAGGCCAGAATACTGGAGTAGGTAGCCTTTCCCTCCTCCAGGGGATCTTCCCAACCCAGGGATCAAACCCAGGTCTCCCGCATTGCAGGCGGATTCTTTACCAGCTGAGCCATGAGTAAGTGATGTCTAATTCATTTTTTTAGAACTTAAAAGGCTGCATATACCATTGGTGTCTTGCTATAAACATATTAATATAAACCCCCCCCCCCCAAATTAACGCAACCTGGAGATCAGTTAAAAGATACTATTCAGGCTATAGCTGGGCAGGGTTAGGTTGGCCAACTTTTTTTTTAATTGAAGCACAGCTGCTTTACAATATTGTGTTGTTTTCAGGTGTACAGTATAGTGATTCACCATCTTCACATTTTTTAGAATGGCTTTATTTTTCTAAAAACAGCTGCCAGAAAAATGTGAACCTCTTCGACTAAAATCAGAATTTGGTATTATATATAAATGGTGTGGGTGAGAGTTTCAAGGAACTCAAACCCAGTGTGCTAAGTCGGCAGTGAGTAGTTTTACTAAGAACTCTTTTCTCCACATATTTAGTATGATTTTCATTGTGAAATAAAGTGACCCTCAAAACAACTCAAAAGTTCATATATAAGGTCCTCATTCTCTAGACACTAACTCCAATAAATCTGGGGCAGACCAACCTCACAAACTCTAGAGAGAAGAGCTTTTACTCACTTGCTGCCATGTCAGCTTCAGCCTCTCATACTGCTCCTTGCCATCTTCTGAGCAATCAGAACAGGTAAACCTAAAAAAATTATCACCCTTAAGGTAACTGAGCTGTTCCCTCAGCTGACCTAGGAGGAAAACAAAAAGGTGCATCACTATAACAGAGGTAACCAAAGGTTTAATCAGTTTACCAACCATTTCCCAAGTTTCCCAGGCTGTCTTCCATTTTTCTTTCAGCCAACCCAAGTCAGCAGGTTATTCTTCTAACATCAAGTGCACGCCCAGTAAGATAGATCCGTGGTTCCCTGACTTTCAGAAAAAAGACACTGGGAAGACAGGTAGGGTCATCCTCACTGGCTGTTCCAACTGTTGCTGACTCCTATAGGAGGTCTCCTCACATATCCTGCAAGAAATATCTGAGCTCCCACTGTGCCACTGGGCTAGGAACTGGGAATAGGATGCCCAGGGCAGACGTGCTGAGCACCCTGAGGCTTACAGCTGTTGCGAGGGGCACAGGGGTGCAAGAAGGTTAACAGCATCACAGCGGCTCTCCATCCTGTGTATCAGAATCACCCAAGAAGCTGTTTGTTTTAATATGCCTGGGCTTGTCCCACACATAGTTAATCAACCTCTAGATGCAGGGCATTTTCTGAAGTTCCCCAGGGGATGCTGAAGCTCTGGGAGACATGAAGACCCCTGGAGTGGAATGTGATGGGCTCAGCAGGGCAACGTGAGGGCACTTAAAAGAAATGCCAACCTATACTAGGAAGACAGGAAAGCTGGACAAAGTAGGGGCACTGGGGACTGAAGGATGGTTAGAATTGGGGTGTGAGGAGAATAGAGGTTGCAAAGACACATGTTCCACAAAGGAAATTTATATGTGCAAAGTCCCAGGGAGAAGAAAGACCCACTTGTGGAGAATGAAAAGCTCACCCTGGCTACAGAGCTCTGTGGGGATTATCTGTGGGGAGAGGAGGACATGAAGGAGAGGCTGGAGCATTTGCTGGTGCGCAGCAGGAAGGGCGGTTTACAGTGTAGGCTGTGAGGACAGGGGAGAGCCACCCAGGTCACCCAGCCATCCAGAACCCTGAATCTACAAGCAGAGACAGCTCAAGAGCAAAAACTAGCTAGTGCGTGCAAGCGTACATGTGTGTGTGAGGACACACGCTCATATGTACTCAGTCGTGTCCGACTTCACAGGCTGTAGCCTATCAGGCTCCTCTGTCCATAGTATCTTCCAGGCAAGATAACTAGAATGGGCTGCCACTTCCTACTCCAGGGGATCTACCTGAACTAGGGATTGAACCCGTGTCTCCTGCACTGGCAAGTGGATTCTTTACTCCTGAGCCACCTGGGAAGCCCCCAAAACTAGCTTATAGGTAGTCAATTTTAGGTTTGCTTTCTGTGAAAATGGTGTCACTCTTAAATAGTAATTAGGAATCTGAATAGCTGAATCCATCTTAAAAACATCTCCACATACAAGAAAATGACCCAGTTCACAACAAAAAATAAACACACACACACACATACCTAAATTTCTCACATATCTAAATTTCTCTGACCTGGTTACAGGTTCCATTACACAGAGTACTCCTCCAATACATGTGTCTTTACAGTCTCCATCTAATGGAAAAGCCCTGCTTTGGTAGCAGCCCTGATGCCTGGCAAAGGACCTCCTGGTGTGAGTGTGTGTTTATCTACTGCCAGCAGATCAAGGAGGTCAGCAAGTAGAAAACACTAGAAACAGGCGCAACACATTTCTAATCTACTAATTCCTTATATCAGCAAACTATCACAGCTGTTTTCCATGTAAGTTAAATATTACCCGAGTTATAAGTCTGAACTTCAGCTCTATGCTGGGCCTAGAATTTGTCTGCAAATCCATAGTAATGTGACCCTGATAGAAAAATGCAGCTGATTCTTTAAGTCACACAGAATTTCTAATTTTTATTGGGTGGCAATCAAGAACGTTAATTTAACAACGTGATAGAGGTTAGCAGTCATATTTATTTATTAGGACAAATGTGTCTATGTTTTATATAAACCTTCAGTTAAGCAACTAAACTAGTAATAAATGTAAGAGTTATCTTTTTATTTAGATCTACTTCACATTCCTGTTTCTTTCACAGGTTAGGAAAACACATCTTCCCATAGGAACTGATAGAGCAAAGGAAAGGAGAAGCTCCTTACTGGCCGGGATCCACTTCTGGCACTTGTCGCAAAAGTAGGACAGATGCTCCTCCATCCACGACACGTCCCCTTCATCACTGTTGAGGGAGTCCCCGCTCTGGTCGTGAGACAAGTCCACGGATGCCTGGTCCTCTGACTCCACAATCAGCAGGGTCTCCCCCTCCACCTCCCCCTCCTCCAGCCCCTCCGACGTTGATGTTCTCGTGGCTTCATCGTCGTGTCGACTGATCAAACCGCTCAGGTGGATGCTACCCTCCATTCCTCCCGGCTCACAGGGTCAGGGTTCTCAGGAACAACCCCAATCCCTGGACACCAAGCTTGAAGGGCTCCTCGCTGACCACACAAACAGAAACTCTCACAAGAATGTCTGCCCACCCCTACTCAGACACAAGGAGCTCTAAAGACAGTATTTAGAATATATGAGCCATTGTCCTTTTTCTGACCAAGTTTAAAAGGTCAGTGAGCAAAAAAGCTTTCACTAAGCTGTTATCCATCAACACACACATTGAATGCTGTCTTTTTCATCAATACTTCACACACACTTCAAGTCACGTTTCTTGAGATCCCTTTGCCAACACCATTTTCTCTCTTTCTGCTTCAAGCTGCTCAGTCAGAAGAATCTGTTCTCCCAAAAGACGAATATTTTCTTTTTTCCGATTTTGCCTTTCAATGTCTCTGATCACTCCATCACGAAGCCTCTAAAAATGTAAGAAAGAGATTTCAGTAAAACTGGAACAGGCAGATCCCATCCTTGCATCATTCAAATCTAAAACACTGTTTAGATATACTTAAAACTTTTAGATTGCAACTACCCAATTACTATTTTAATTTACTGTATAAACGTAATAAAGAAACCATAAAATTAACTTGGTAGAGTGCCATAGTATTATTACAGACTTCTTATCGTCTTTTAGGAAATTCCACATTGTTTGATACAAATATGGTAAATAACAATTAAAAATTAAAAACTGGGGCTTCTGTTGGTGGTCCAGTGAGTAAGAATCCTCCTGCCAATGCAGGGGACACAGATTTGATCCCTGCTTCTGCTGGGAAGAGTCCCCGTGCTTCAGGGCAACACTAAGTCTGTGTACCACTATTGAGCAGATGAGCCTCAACGCCCTGGAGTCTGTACTCCACCGCAGTGAAAAGCCTGAGCACTGCAACCTGCAATGAAGAGTAGCCTCCATGCCCTGAAATCAGAGGAAGCCCGAGCACAGCAGCAATGACCCAGCACAGCCAAACTTAAATCTCCTTTAAAAAAAAAAAAAGCTGCCACTGTGCTGAATTTTAGTTTAGTTGATATATGATACTTCAAAATTTGAGAGCAATGGAAAAAATAAATAAAACAAAAAAGTGAAAAACAAACAAAAAACAGAAGAGAAAAAAAGAAAGAGAGCTAAATAAAAATGTGAGGAGGGAATTCCCTGGTGGTCCAGTGGTTAAGAATCTGCGCTTCCACTAGTTGGGGAACAAAGACCCTGCAGAGGCTACCTATGTCCCCCGCCCCCTCAAAAAAAACCTTGATGAGAGTTACAGTAACTGTGAACTACATTCCTGTTAGCAACTGTCTTAGCTGAATAATAAATAGCATAGAAAAAAGTACTAAAATTTGAACAAAGTGTAAGGATGCGAGAAAGTAAAGAACCTAACTTGTTCTACTATGTGAAGAGAATAAGTAAAAATTACACAGAATTACCACCAACTACCTAATGGGCAGAGAAGGGGAAAAAAAGAAAGCCATCACCAGAGGAAAAACAAAGGCCCAGCAATGGCAGTTACTTTCACAAACACTAACGACAGAAGATTCCAGCCAGAATATGAATGTGGCATCTAAGATGACTTGCTAAAGCATCAATCCAGTCATTACTAATAACTAACATTTTATAGTTTACAGGTCATAAAATACTCTGATAACAGTGGCCTGTGAGGCAGAATAACGGGAGCAGGGCATAGGACCTGGGTATGTTTTTTTGTTTTTGTTTTTTTAATTTTAAACCAGACCTCTTTCAAATAAACTACCAGAGAAGTATCTCCATCTGCAAGGCCAGCCTGCAATTCATCAACAAGCACCAAGTTACAGATCTGCTTGTCTTTGGTTTTTCAATTTACTATTATGTCTACCTTAACAACTCACCAAATACCATGGTGCTGGCCCTCCTCCAGGCCTGGAGCCTTAGTTCCCATTATCAGGGAGCTGGGAAATTTAAGAGTCCTGGGACTGATAACACAACTGAAACCCATTTGTCTTGAACCCCGCGCTCAGGGCCAGATCTCCAGACAGAATCGGAAGCTCTCATTCTACTCTTCCCTCCCCAGCTCTTGTCCTATGTGCCTTCCGGCAGGACACATTTACACACCCCACCCAACTCCTGAAGCCCACACCTTCCACACCTACTCTGAGGTCCTCCCTTCCTTTCTCAGACTTTGGCATGTGGCTTGGGTTCTTGTTCTCCATCCATCATTTGCTAGTTCCCCCCCAAGTTTCAAGATCTGTGCCAACTGCCTGGCATACCCTTCCTGGGAATTCCGGTTGACAACTGTGCTGACCACCCAGACCTCTTCATTACCATAACTTACAGCTGGAAGTTGGCTCCTGGTGCAGTTCTTACTCCTCGGGTAGTACTGCCAGTTTTGCTGGCTTCCTGTGAGGATGAATGCTCCCTACAGCGCCTGGTATGTGGTATAGTCAGGAAACAATGAGGGACCACGCCAACCACTGGTTTATTTCTCGCTTCCCTGAACCTTCCAACACACCCAACTATGTCAAATTATATGTCCTGCTTCCCAGGAAGTAAGCCACATGAATGACTGGAGGTACAACAAACACAGTTATTCTGGTCAACCTTCACCTCTAACTTCCAAATAGCTAAATCTTCCACTTTTCACATTCTAACATCGGTTCTCAACCCTGGCTGCATGTTAGAACCCCTGAATCGCTTTTAAAACATACTTCAGCGGGATCCACACCCACAAGATTCTGACTTGACAGGTGTGGAGCAAGACCCAGGCGGTTTCACGGTATTAAAACAACAACAACAACAAAGTTCCCAGGAACATTGGCACGTGTAGCTGGAGATCAGAACCAAGCTTGCGCCCAGCCTTACTGTATACTCGGAAAAACCCCTGCTCCCTGACCTCAGAGCTACATTCAATACAGCATCCTCTACCCCCTTGTCGAATTTCCTCCCATCACCACCTTTTCCTTCTTAGAGAAGGAAGCCTCCTGCCTATGTTCAGAAAGCTACCCCCTTAGCTGTCTTAGTTGCTCAGTCGTGCAGGACTCTCTCTGCGACCCCATGGACTGTAGCTCCCCAGGCTCCTCTGTCCATGGAAATTCTCCAGGCCAGAATACCGGAGTGAGTTGCCATGCCCTCCTCCAGGGGATGTTCCCCACCCAGGGATGGAAACCAGGTCTCCCGCATTGCAGGCACATTCTTTACCCTCTGAGCCACCAGGGAAGTCCCTTAGAGCCCTATTTTAAGCCCAAATCTCTCATCTCCTCGGTGTCCTGTCATCGTTAACCATTCCATTCTCTCCGCTAAATCCCTATACCACCGTCGGCTTCGTCTCCTGATTTCCTCCAGAGCGTGAAACAGGACAGAGGCCTCGCCGGCAGCATCTCCGCATCACCAGCACACGCACCGACCTCCCCCTACCCCCCGCTGCCTGCGCCCACACCGGGCGACTCGGGCTCCGCCGCCCCCCGCCCCTCCCGGCGCTCGACCCTCAGGCCCACGACCAATTGCGCTTCCTCTTCTTTCTTTCCTACGAGCTCGGGGCCAAGGCTTGCGCCCGGGAGTCACACTGACCGATTGGGAAAAAGAAGACGCGGGAGCTTACACAGCGCGAACTGTCCGCCTCCCGCGCTCCGACCCCAGCGAGCCGGGGGCCGGGCTGCGGGGTGTCTCTGAGCCCAGTGTACCCGGGGACTACCCCCTCACCCCCAGGACCGTTCCTCCCATGGGCGGGGGGGGGGGAGGGGTCCCCGGCCCCGGAGGAGGGAGGAAAGGTGAGGAAATGAGGCGCCACACGGAGCTAGGCCCCAGACCCGAACCGCGCGGGCCCGGGACACCGACCTGCCGGTCCTGGCGCTGCTTCAGATGCACGCCCGCCACGGTGGCAGCCGTCAGCAGCACCGAGAGGCCCAACACCACCTTGGAGCGCCTCGACATCCCCCGCGCCTGCCTGCCTGCCGCGGCCTCGGCTCGCAGCGCCTGAGACCCGGGGCCGCCGCAGCCGAGTGCGCGTCGCCGCCCGGGGCGGGGCCAGGCGCGATGCCTCGAGCGCAGAGCCCGGCCGCTGCAAGGCACGGGGAGTCGAGCGCCGAGCGCCTCCCTTACTCCGCCAGAGAGCGTGACTTCTGGCGGGGCCTGGGGAGGACCCGAGTGACCAGATCGTCTCCTTGCCCTGCGGGCTGGAAAGGGGCCACTTCCAAGAGCCCCCGCCCAGAGTTGGCCCCGGCATCACTACCCGGGACAGGGTTTGGAGGCCTGAGCCCCTTCCTCTCATCCGCCGTCCTCTGCGGCGGGAGTGTCGGGAGGCGGGATTCCTTCCCAGCTTGAGTACCTTGTGGACCCTCCGCCGCGCGCGTCCCGTTAGAGCGCGGGGCGCTGCCACGCCACCATCCCAAAACGCAGCACTCGTTGCCCCTTGGCGGGGGAGGGCACCAGGAGAGGGAGTTTTTCTGGTGAGACGTGGCAGACGTCCACCTGCGTCCACCTTGACGCGGTGGGAGGGCGAGGCAGGGTCTGGTTTTTCTTGACGTCGTCGTCGGTAAACCTTCTGGCTGCAGAGCCAGCTCTTCAGGCAGCGGTACCTCTCCTGCTGGTACGAAAGACGCTGTCTTCTTGTCTCCAGGTAACCCTTGGGACATCCCGTCTACACCAGTTTCGGCGTTCAGGTGCCCGCGTTACTCAGTTCAGTTCAGTTGCTGACTCTTTGCGATCCCATGGACTACAGCACGCCAGGCTTCCCTGTCCACCACCAACTCCCGGAGTTTACTCAAACTCATGTCCATTGCGGAGAAGACAATGGCAGAGAAGACAACGGCAACCCACTCCAGAGAAGACAATGGCAGCCTACTCCAGAGAAGCTTGGTAGGCTGCAGTCCATGGGGTCGCTAAGAGTCGGACACGACTGAGCGACTTCACTTTCACTTTTCACTTTCATTCACTGGAGAAGGAAATGGCAACCCACTCCAGTGTTCTTGCCTGGAGAATCCCAGGGACGGGGGAGCCTGGTGGGCTGCCATCTAGGGGGTCGCACAGAGTCGGACATGACTGAAGTGACTTAGCAGCAGCAGCAGTATGTCCATTGAGTCGGTGATGCCGTCCAACCATCTCATCCTCTGTCGTCCCCTTCTCCTCCTGCCTTCAATCTTTCCCAGCATTAGGGTCTTTTCCAATGAGTCAGTTCTTCACATCAGGTGGCCAGAGTATTGGAGTTTGAACTTTAGTATCAGTCCTTCCAATGAATATTCAGAGTCTGGTTTTTCTTGATGTGGTCGGAAAACCTTCTGGCTGCAGGGCAAGCTCTCCAGGCAGCAGTTCCTCTCCTGCTGTTATGAAAGACACTGCCACTTTGTCTCCAGGTAACCCTTGAGACATCCTGTCTACACCGGTTTCCACGTTCAGGTGCCCGCGTTACTAGGGTCAGAAATATGGAGTGAAGTGGAGAACTGAGAAGCTCACCGAAGAAGATACTATGCCCAGCTCACACAGACAATGGGCTTTCCAAGGAAGAGAGAGGTATTATGATCAAGAAACGGTTAGATGGCATCACAGACCCAATGGACGTGAGTTTGAGCAAACTTCAGGAGATAGTGAAGGACAGAGAAGTCTGGCATACTACCGTCTATGGAATCGCAAAGAGTCGGAGGCAACTTAGCGACTGAACACAATATTTTTTCCGACTGGAATTCCCAAAGGACAGATTTCCTCCTGTGCAAACAACTGTGGACACTGTTGATTTGGGCTGAGTCTCACCCTGGGGTTTCTTCCATCTTGATCTCTGTAGTGCTCTGCTATTCCAGGGTCTGTTGTGCAGAGTGTCAATTGCTTAAAGTGAATGCTGCTCTCCAGAAATGTAATGAGATAAAAATAACTTTTAAAGTGAAAATACCCTTTTCAAATATTTCGTCTGCAGCATTTTTCTCTGCAGAGGAGGAAGTACCGTTGAGTTGGAGAATAAGGTCCCTGTGCTGACCTTGGAATTAGAAGCAGTTTAATTCAGGGCATATTTGGCTGTTTCTCTAAAGGAAAAAAAAAAAGTATATTAGACTACTTTTTACTTGCGGTAGACTCCAGATATTTTCTCCCTCTTAGTCAGTGAGCCTTCAGTAAAGCTGCATGTCTTAGAATGTATGTCAGAGTGAGATGGTCTCTCATTCTACCATGACTGATTTTTCAGCTTGTCTTTTTGAAATGGATTGTTATTCTGCTTTTCAAAAGTCCCTCATGGGGATTCACTGGCTGTTCAGGAGTTAGGACTCTGTGCTTTCACTTCCATGTCCCAGTTCCTTAAGATCCCTCAAGCCTTAAGGTGTGGCCTCCCCCTCACAAAATATACCTTATGAGTTAACAGTGTCAAATTCAGAAATGGATTATCTGTTTGTTTATATGTTTATTTACCTGCAACTAAGACCCAACATAGCCAAATAAGTAAATAAAAATACTAAAAAAAAAAAATCATCCCCTTTTAAAAAAAGAGGGGATATATTTTAAGGTATGCTAATTATGGAAGGAAAGTTATGACCAACCTAGACAGCATATTAAAAAGCAGAGACATTAAAAAAAAAAAAAGCAGAGACATTACTTTGTCAACAAAGGTCCGTCTAGTCAAGGCTATGGTTTTTCCGGTGGTCATGTATAGATGTGAGAGTTGGACTATAAAGAACGCTGAGCACTGAAGAATTGATGCTTTTGAACTATGGTGTTGCAGAAGACTCTTGAGAGTCCCTTGGACTGCAAGGAGATCCAACCAGTCCATCCTAAAGGAGATCAGTCCTGGGTGTTCATTGGAAGGACTCATGTTGAAGCCGAGACTCCAATACTTTGGCCACCTGATGCGAAGAGCTGACTCATTGGAAAAAAGACCCTGATGCTGGGAAAGATTGAGGGCAGGAGGAGAAGGGGATGACAGAGGATGACATGGTTGGATGGCATCACTGACTCAATGGACATGAGTTTGAGTGGACTCCGGGAGTTGGTGATGGACAGGGAGGCCTGGCGTGCTGCGGTTCATGTGGTCTCAAAGAGCCGGACATGACTGAGTGACTGAACTGAACTGAATTATGATTTCAATAAAGTTATTAAAAGAAGGCAAAAAAAATAAAGCTGTTTGTATGTATCAATTCATTTCATCTGCACAATAGGTGCTATATTTTTTTTAATAGGTGCTATTATTATGCCCATTTTACAAAGGAGGAAGGTAACTTGCCCAGAGTCTACAGCCTGAAAGTTACAGAGCAACATAATTGGTTTTTAGTTTTGTTTTCAAAAGACATAAAAGATTAAACTCACATGGTTTAAAAGTGAATTCACTTGGTTTAACGGAGAACTTTTACCTTGAGGCAATCAACAAGGAAAATGTGTATACGTAGACTTTCAATTCTGTATTTCAGGTACTTACAGAATGGGAGGAGTGGAAAGAAAAGGAGGCAGTTAAGGTTAGACACACAGGTGGGAGGAGAGAAAGAAACAAGAGAACAGGAAAGCAACAGACTCCCCGTAGGTTCTGAGGTCAGAGCATTGGCCTCTCAGGATGTTCATTTGGCCTCTGACAGCTACACCCTGTTCACATGGGCCTCGAGTTCAGTTTTCAAGTATCCCATTCCTCCCTTTGTGGGAGCCTTGCTGCCCTCTGGTAGGATGTTGTTCTCAGAAAGTGGCCTCAGTGAGTGAAGCTCTACGACAAAGGGCTTCTGGCTTCACTGGGGACAGTACCTAACCTCCGGGGGCCTCAGTTTCCCCCTCTGTACTGTGGGGACAGTGATGTGTCTGCTGCCCCCGGGCTTACTGATTGAAATGACGAATTAGCAGCATGACTGCACCAAGTCAGGTATGTGGCAGTAATGCATGTCATGCTCTGGCCAGTAAGTCTTCAGGGATCCCCTAGGAGTGGCTAGATGGGGACCCCCTCAGCCCTGAAGGGAGGGGGAATCCTTGTCTTCACAGCCTTGGGAGAAGTCTGTTCATTTGCAGCTCAGAGGGCCTTTCAGCAACATCCCAGCTGGAGGCAGCGCAAGCGTTCTCACCACATTTGCCCCAACCGTGATTCAAAATTCTTGGTGTGGCTGGCTGAGTTCCTTTGGATTCAAAATCCAGTCACGTTGTCAGAGAAAAATGTCAACCTTACCGGTTGTTAATGGAAGAAAAGAGCTGTTAGATCCTTTAAAGACAGGCAATTTCGACTGCTGTAAATTTATGAATCATTGTGAAAAAAATAATGGCTTTAACTGACAATACCACACGTTAGCAAAGACGTAGAACAGTTGGAACGCGCTGTGCTCTGGGTGGGAGTGTCTCTTGCAACCACTTCAGCTGAATCTACTGGAGCTGAACCAGTTTGAATCCTGTTACCCAGAACCTTCAACCCCAGATGGAGGCCCCACAGAACTGCATACGTGTGTGCACCCAAAACAAGTGCATGTGTTATCTGTGTGTATCCCACTTGCAGAAGTCTGCAGGTGCTCACCTTACTGGGGGTGGGGGCAGCGTGGGAGAGTATTTCCTGAAAAAACAGAGTGTGAGTGGGTCTTCTGGGACTCTGATGTCATCCTGTTTCCTAATCTTTTTTTTTCCCCTTTAATATGTATTTATTTGGCTGTGCCGGGTCCTAATTGCGGCATGCAAAATCTTGGTTGCAACACGTGGGATCTAGTCCCCTGGCCAAGGATCAAACCCAGGCCCTCTGCAGTGGGAGCTCAGAATCTTAACCACTGGACCACCAGGGAAGTCCTGTTTCCTAATCTTGATGCTGCTACTGGGTATTTGTGAAGATGAATCAAGTGGTAATAGATTTTGTGCTCATATCTATATGCATGGCCTACTGTTATACAAAATCTTATATAAGGGACGTCCTTGGCAGTCCAGCAATTAAGACTTCGTGCTTTTACTGCTGAGGGCTCCAGTTCAATCCCTAGTTGGGAAACTAAGGTTCCATAAGCTGTGGGGCAAGGCAAAAAAAAAAAAAAAAAAACTTACATAAAATTATGAACTGAATAAAAAAGGCTTCACATTT